CATGGGAGTTGGCTTAGAGCTCGTCTGCCTGGCTGTGCGTTTCCTGGACGGGGCCGCGTTTTAGAGTTGCTTTTTCTATGTCTGCTTCTGTCTCCTTGAACCCCAGTGGGCCTCAGCAGATGGCCGCTCACACAGAGCCTGGTTCTGCTGGAGGTTTCTTCCTGTTAAAAGGGAGTTTTTCCTCTCCACTGTCGCTACAAGCATGCTTAGTGTGAGGGATTGCTGAGAGTAAATGAGTCGATGCAAAAAGCTGGTTTTCCTTAGAAAACTTTGAATCAATCTGACTGGATGATCTGGTGAACTGGAAAGAGCCTTGAGACGACATGATGTGAATTGGAGCTATAGAAATAAACTGAATAGAATTGAATCTAATCGGCACTCAAGCGTTTATCACCTTGTAACAAAGTTATCGGCCAGCCGTAGCTCCACCGTGTGCCTGTCGATGTTCGGCGGAACAAACAGCAGACCCTTCTTTGCGCACAGCGTCGCCAGGTTAGGTGACAGGATTTGGCAGACGCAGCGCTTCGGACAGATCTGCGCCCGCACCGCCATGGAAACCGCCAGCATCATGCAGAGCAACAGCCTCTCCATGGTTAGCATCCTCAGCGGGTCGAACACCTGACCAACGAGATGGGAAGACATCGACAGAGTTAGCCACATTTTCTGTCTGCGTTAGAGAGAAGGCAAAAATAGGACGCTTGTTTATCTGGATAAATCTGGAAAAGAAATTCTGTAATCAATTAGAGACAAAGAACTTTTTTCTCAATAAACAGAAGAAAGCAGCAAAAGTAGCCTTTTTAAGATTAAGTGAACACAACCTCGCTAATGGCTAATTTATCATTCTTTAGCAAAAATGAGTAGTGAGAGGAAACTTTTGCTCACGCCTTCCTTCCAGTGGTGTCAAAAGTTCACACATTTGATACTTAAGTAGAAGTATAGATAATGCAGTTTAAAAACACTCTGGTAAAAGTTGAAGTATCAACTTGACCTCTTTACTCAAGTGAAAGTGAAAAAGTATGCCCTCAAAAAACTACTTAAAGTATAAAAGTATAAACTAACATTTAAAAAAACAGCCAGATGTCACTATATGAATTGAAAGCTAAATTTTTTGGCTATATTTAAAAATTAGGGCCAAGGATGAGGGAGGTCTTGTTGGTCTCCATCTCCCGATACGCTCTCGCCTGTGTCCGACCTTTCTGACATTTCAACATCTTCTTTTGAATCCCACATTGTAGCATGGCATAGACTATTCACGTTAGCAGTTTGAAGAACACCTGCTTGCTTCTGATGATTTGCATCATATGACTCATCCAATGACACTAGTTTTCACTCGATGTGGATGGAGCCAATGATCTGCATTGGATGGAGCACATGACGGGAAATAAATATTTATTAACATTAAACCGAAGCCAAGAGTAATGAGTAACGTTTGTTTTAAAAATGTAAGGAAAGTACAGATACTTGTGTGGAAATGAAATGAGTAGAAGTCAGAAGTAGGAAGAAAAATAAGTAATGGAGTAAAGTATAGATACCTAAAATATTTGTACTTCGTTATTTGACACCTCTGCTTCCTTCCATCTGTGAGACAAAATAAGGATTTGGGATTTGACTAGGCCAAACACACATTTTTAACCTCTTAACACCCACCTAATAAAAGTAATCCTAACCTATTTTGCATACCCAAATGGAAAAGCAAATAACCGAAGAACTGTGATACATCATTTGAAAGCTACACCTTCTAGTTTCTGAAAATATAAATGAAAATAGTGTGAGTAAAAAACAGTCCAAGCTGCATCAGTTCAAACATGACTCAAAGTTGTTTTTTTATTCTAAAAAATAATAGGTCTTATTTGAACAGTAGTAATAAAGACATGATTGAGAAAAGGCATTTCTCATTGTATTACATTTGTTCTACATCATGTTAACCACAAATGCAGGATATTTCAGACCTCTAGCTCCAACAGTTCCAGAGCTGTGGGGCTTTGAACTGTTGGTGTCACCAGCGCCTCCAAATCTCTGCAGATTGTGCCAAATGCTTTTACTCAATTCTTTGACCCATAGAATAACACTGAAGCATTTTGATGACCACAAAACATTTATGAAGCAGGTATTTTCCACTTTTTTCAGATCAGTGCATATATCAAAATGTAACATTTAAACCTAAAATAATGTAAAAACATATAAAAAATATTGAAACTGTTGCTCAAGTTAAAATAAGCCACAGTGCTTTTTCTGAGCTGTATTTTGTTTTTTGTTTTCCACATTAGGCATTGTAATAAAACAACATCAGCGTCCAAACTTCAAAAATTTTGGAGGGTTTTTCGTAACTGCGCGCATTGATGCAGCCTCAGCTGTGTTTCACTCTTACATAAGCCGGTAACATGGCTCTGCTTTATGTCTAGGCTTCGTTGAAACCTTATTTAATTTGCTACAAAGCCAAAGAGCTCTTAACCAATAACAGCAGAACTCTATGAGGCGTAATATCGCTCTACTCAGTGCGTCACTGGCTGATAGGCAAGGAGCGCCAGTGAGACTTCATCAGCTGTCCCTGACTCAAATCGAGTCAAACAAAGATGACTTGTCTCTGTGAATTTACGTGTAGAAACTCTTTTTGCAGGTTGTCGGATAAAACCCTTTATCCGTGCTGATAAACTTCCATCCACCAGTAGCTCCTCTGCTTCCTCTTGTGTCCGTTTCGCTGTTTTGTTCACACCAGCCCTGTTAGCAGAAGCTGGTGGGTTAATCTTTTTATTTTAATTTACAGGCCTGCTTCCTGTCTGGTGCCTGATTTCTCCTGTTGTCATCCATTTCCTGGCACTTCACACACGCGATGTGAGCATTCACATGGGTCGATCTGGGTTTCAGTGTCAGAGCACCTTTAACCCAAATGTTTTTATCTTGTAAACAAGCAACACAACGCCGTCATGTTTATCATTAAAGTTAAAGCTGCCTACGTTTAAATGGAGCTGAAGATCAAAAGCAGAAAATGGTCTCTGAGTGAAACAGAATGAATGAAACTATAAGCAAGAGATAGAATCGACTACATTTTTGTACTTGATTCAATTAAAGATTTATAAAAGCTATGAGTAAATAAAAAGCGGAGCTGTTTAGGGAAAAAGTTCACCAGTGAAAGTCTCTCTGAGCGGTTGAATCAGGATCTAACAGAAGTTCTGTAAGGTTTTATTCAGGGAAGCAATCGGGATGATTTGACTCCATATCTGCAGCCGTTGATCTACATCTGAACGTGTCTGTGGTTGCTATGGTTACTGCTGTAACTGAGTTTTTTTTTTTGTCCTTTCAGTCTTTCTTTTCGCTTCTGCTGAAATCATAAATATTTAGAATTTGAAAAACATGATTATTGATCAGTTTATTTTTCACTCTAAACCAAAAACAGGATGCGTCAAAAACCGATCATCTCATCTCTTTCTGTCTGAATATAAATCTGATTAAACTTCCCTGGTTTCTGGTCAACTATGAGCAGAGCTGGGTAATAACTAGTTGCATTTACTTGAGTAAAAAACCTTTTAGGAGTCATTTTTCTGCACTTTACTTCCTTTTACTTCAGTAGTATTCTTGTGAAGTATCATTACTCTGCCCTCTGTCATTAAGTCCAGTTATTAAGAGATCAGGTGAAAAGAGCAAATGAGATATTTTTTATCAAATATTATTTTCTCACTTGAGTATTATGTTGAATACTCTATATCCTCACTTGAGTATTAAACAAGTAATAGTCAAAAGCACTGACCGATAAATCCCCAGGTAAGAATAAAAAGTATTTGGTAAAATAGCTGCTAAGTAACTGTTGGATCATTCAATTGGATTTAAGATTGAAAAAGATGTAATCGGATGGACAATTAGATAAAATATTCAGGTATTTTGAAAATATAACAAAGACAATATATAAAATAAACATAGAACAAATAAAAAACATGGTTTAAAATAAGAAACACATCCTCAAATGATTGTTTTAAACAGAATCTTATAAAATTAGTTTTAATGTAAAGAATATATGATAGGAAATGATAAAGAAGGCTTTTATTTATTTATTTATTTATTTATTTTTTTAAACAATGTCCTGTCTGGCAATGTGGCAATAAGAATAAAAGTCCTGATGCCAAAAAGAGCCCTACAGATTTTACTTACATGCATATAAATTTCTTTATTATAATTATGCAGGGAGTTTTACAGTTTATATGGACACTGCAATGTAAATACAGCTTTTAGCTTTTTCACCTGAAAAGCTAAAGTTACTCATGATAGGTAGAGTATATGTAGCTGCCATACTGCGGTCATTTCTCAACGTGTGTACTTGTGCGTTCTCGTGAAACGTCATTACCCTCAGTACCGATTCATTTCACTAGAACAGCAAAACCGAGAACGGACAAAGTCCCCGAATGTTGTTCTGGCCCCTCCCTCTTTACCCAGCATGCATCAGAGCAGACTTTTCTGTTCTCCAGACTGACAGCTGTCCCAGCATGCACTGCGTCAGCCAGGGCTAATGTTAGCCCATTTGCAGCAGCCATGTGTGGACCGCTAGCTCTAATGGAGATTTTTTTATTTTTTATTTTTTTGCAAAATGTTCATTTGATTTGTGTTTATATGACGTTGTTCATTATTATTCCACCACTAAATGAAAATGTCAAAATTTATTATTATCTAGAGACTATTAATAACAGGAGGTGAAATGCAGCTCCAGACGAGATTTGAATGTGGTGATGTCATCAGTACGCTTCTGTTCCAATTGACCCAGATTTATTCTGCGTTCTTGCCAAGAACGTACTGTACTTGGAGAGAACACGAGTTTATAATCACGTTGTTGTGTTGAGGAACGGCCCGTGTCTTCAGGAAACAGACAGACAAAGAAAAAACACAGCACTGGATCAGATGAGGTATGGTGGTGCTGAAGGAAAGCTTTAGTTTGAAACCTCAGAGCTTTACTGAAACCAGAACTGGGTCCAAACCAACTGTCCTTTATTGTTCCAGTGATATAAAAAGCCATCCCATTATTAGATGATTGCTCCATTCATTATCTGCCTCTGCCTTTCAGTTCTCTCATTTCTAAACTAAAGGCTGTTGGCGGCGGATCTGTGTTTGAGTTCAGAGAGACAGAAGAAGGTAAACAGAGAGCCGCTGATGGACCCAAACGGACTGGCGCCGGACTCACAGAGAGCCTGTGGCCCCTGTGACTCGGCCGCAGATATGGACTCATTAATGAGTTTAAGAAATGACTGTGATGAGAAGGAAATGAGGGAGATATTTCAGAGCGCGGCTGATTAAAACGAGCACTGAGGGGTAAACGGAAAGTAGCGGCTGAAGCCCTAATTCATGTATTCATTACAGATTATTTAGTAATTAATAAATGAGACTAGAATAGTCTGGAAAGGGGAAGTATGGTTGGTTTTTATCCTCAGTGTCACAGTGAGGTTGAGGTTTGACAGGACCCTAATGCAGAGACTGAAGCTGAAGTGATTACTTGAAGATTTAATAACAAAAAGGGTAACAGAAGCAAAAATGCAAAAACATAAATCCACAAAAACTGATAACCAGGAACACTGAGGAAACAAGAGGAAAAGAAATGAAGGCAAACCAGCAACAGCGACTGAGCAGTAGGAGAAACA